AAGTAATCAACAGTGCAGTGCTTCATATCTTGAAATAGTCCATTGAAGTTTCATTCTTAGGTGAAATTTGCTGAAACTTCTGGAGTTACTCACACACCTTTAAAACCCACTGGTTTTGAGGTTCTACAAACAACATCAGTATGATATTTTGGGTCACAATTTTCCTAGAATTAGAATTCTTCCATCCAGAGAAAGAAAAACATTAGGGCTTTTAAAAACTTAATCCATTATGTCTCAGTGAGAAATCAAATGTTTTGCTTAGTTTATAAGTCTAGGACATGGCGTGTTTTAAGCACAGAAAACAGAAGTAATTAAATATACTCAAAGGCATTATTTAACTTAGAAACTATTTTGAAAAGTACAATATAACATAATTGATACAAATTGTACTGATCATATTCTGTTCTCTCTTTTTTGATGATACAAAATGTATTTATAAAACTTTAGTCTCGAAAACCCTACACAGGGTTGCTAAGAGTCAGAACAAACCCGATGACACTTAACAACAGTATCATCATAGCAATAAATTATTATATGGTATTTTGGGGGGGGCATTAGGGAAATCTGGTTAGCCTATCTTTTCCTTGATTGAAGTCCATGCAAATGGGAATCTGGTGTGAGGTCTATTTTTGGTACAAAAGGTAATCTGACCCAAAAGTGTTTAGAATACAACCTGAGATTTTAGAATACCAAGGTAAACAATCAAAACTGGGTTCCTGACATCACATGGTAGTAAAACACTAGACTAGCAGTATTAATTAATAACTGCTAGTTATTAATAAGTATCATAGTGTCACTGTCATGATAATAACCACAATGTCAGAGAAAGAAGTTCACAGAAGTCCTAGGCTTTTTATACTTTCAGATCGGAATGGAAAAATAAGTGCTTAAAATCGAATTCTTAATTGCCGCTGAAAATTGATTTTAAAAAGTAGGTCTATGGGACAGTAATTCCCCAAAAGGAAGCAAGTAACTGGAAAATAAAATATTTTATCTGCAGGTGACCTATTGAATTTTAGAGGCAAAATGTCATCTCTCTAAAAAATGTCGTTCCTCATTTCTCTTGGGGCCTTTCAACTGCATTGGCCTCCTTTACTCGGAAGAAGGTAAAAGCAGACTTCAATGTGCCGTCACCACTTTGTTGTGAAAAGCAAAGGAAGAAGGCCCAGACAAAGCCGCAGAGTCCGGTGTAGGCTGTTCGCCAGTGAATGGGAACAAGGCTGAAGTTGGTCAGCTGGAACAGAGAGAACAAATCTATTAGGGCTCCAGATAACAGATGCTGGGAATGAGCACTCTGAGTCGATTTGAAACTCACCTGGACAAAAGGCCAGTACATCAGACCGCTCTGGAATAAAGAAAAACTCTATTAGAATGTCTTCCTAAAGTAAAAATACAGACTAAAAATATATAGCGCGATATTTGCCAATTCAACATCTTCTACCTATACAATTCAATGAAACCATTTACATCAATCATAATGTGCAAACATCCAGTGCCAAATTTTCCATCCCCAGACACAGAAGCCCCATGCTTCCTAAACAGTCAGTCCCTCTTCCCCATCCCTCCCGCCCCTGACAACAACTATTAAACTCTGATCCCTGTACCTTTACCTATTCTAGATATTTCATATTAGTGACAACATATAGTATTTGCTATTTTGTGACTGCCTTATTTCACTCAGTCTAACACCAATACCAAAATCCTCACAACTGGGCCAATGAATAACACCATGATAAATGGAGAAAACATTGAAGTTGTCAAGCATCTCATTTGGTTTGAATCAACACTCATGGAATTAGCAGTCAAGAAACTAAATGACGACACACGCGGTCGCTCACTGCCTGGAGGAGCCCAGGAGGCAGAAGATGGCTGTGCCTCCCACATACATTGACCTTGGCAAACCTAAGAGGGATGTCTTCACCAAGGGTTACAGATTTGGCTTAATAAAACTTGATTTGAAAACAAAATCTGAGAATGGACTGGAATTTACAAGCTCAGGCTCAGCCAACACTGAGACCACCAAAGTGATGGGCACAGTCTGGAAACCAAGTACAGATGGATTGAATACGGGCTGACATTTACGGAGAAATGGAACACTGACAACACGCTAGGCTCCGAGATTACTGTGGAGGACCAGCTTACCTGGGGACTGAAGCTGACTTTTGATTCATCCTTCTCACCTAACACTGGGGGCAAAAATGCTAAAATCAAGACAGGGTATAAGCGGGCGCACATCAACCTGGGTTGCGACGTGGATTTTGACATTGCCGGACCTTCCATCCGGGGTGCTCTGGTGCTGGGTTATGAGGGCTGGCTGCTAGGCTACCAGATGAACTTTGAGACCGCCAAGTCCCGCGTGACCCAGAGCAACTTTGCGGTTGGCTACAAGACTAATGAATTCCAGCTTCACACTAATGTGAATGATGGGACAGAGTTTGGTGGCTCCATTTACCAGTAGGTGAACAAGTTGGAGACTGCTGTCAATCTTGCCTGGACAGCAGGAAATAGTAACATTTGCTTTGGAATCGCAGCCAAGTATCAGATCAACCCTGATGCCTGCTTCTCGGAAAAGTGAACAATTCCAGCCTGATAGGTTTAGGATACACTCAGACCCTAAAGCCAGGTATCAAAGTCACACTGTCAGCTCTGCTGGATGGAAAGAATGTCAACACCAGTGGCCACAAGCTTGGTCTAGGACTGGAATTTCAAGCATAAATGAATATTGTACAATCATTTACTTTTAAACTATTTTGCATCATAACTACCTTCAGAATTGTAGTATACCTTTTAATGTTGTATATCTGGGATGAAAATTTTGCTCAATATCATGTCAGACCTCCAGGTTAAAATGATTCAGCTTTAAAGTGAAACCCAGTTCCAGAAAGCTCCTTCAGCTGTAGACTTTGGGGGGAATTTGGTGGCCCCTCAAGAGGAGTCAGGTTTCTTTTTTTTTTAATCTAGAAATGGCTGCAAGTGGAAGCTGATAATGTGTAGACACTGTGTAAATTTATATTGAGTAAATGAATGACATTGTGACTTCCTGAGAATTAAACGTTGCTTTCCTAACCCTGAGGAGAAGCTCATTGCTTGGTGCTGTGTACAAACTCGTCTGAAAGGGACAGATCTTCATGACCAGTTTCCACCCCAGTCCATCACCTCTCTATACCAAAAGTAGTCTGCAAGGTGTGGTAACTGATTTTTGTGTGTGTGCCATTTTGGGGTGGAGAGGGTGGATGTGATGAAGCCAATAATTCAGGACCTGAATTCCTTCTGTGTGGTCTTGTGCTCTTGCACCAGAGTATGAAATAGCTTCCAAGAGCTCTAGCTGGAAGCTGGGAAGGGTCTCTGTGACTAATCACTTAGTGACAACACTCAGAATCTAAATTGGACTTGTGTTGCATTCATCACTCAATCTATTTTTTAGCCATTTAATGAGTACATTTTAGAGTCTTCCATTTTGTGTGGAATTTGATCTTCCCCTTCAAATGCTATAATTAACATCATTTAAAATAAAACTTGAATAAAAACCAAACTAAATGACACATTACAATAGGCAAATCTGCTGCACAAGACCTCTTTTAAATGTTCAAGAGCAAAGATGTCAGTTTGAGGACTAAAATGCACCAGACACAAACCAGGGTATTTTCAATAGCCTCATATGTATGTGAAAGTTGGATAGTGAATAAGCAAGACTATAGAAGAATTGATGCATTTGAGTTATGGTGTTGGAGGAGAATATTAAAAGTGCCATGGACTACCAGAAGAACAGACCAATCTGTGTTGGAAGAAGTACAGTCAGAATGTTCCTTAGAAGCCAAAATGGCCAGACTGCATCTCTCATACTTTGGACATATT